CTCTCCCTTCTCCCTCCTCCTCCCCTGATTACTAGTATCTATACTTTAATGTTTTTTTGAGATAGAGTCTCACTTTGTCACCCTGGGTAGAGTGCCATGGCATCATAGCTCACAGCAACCCCAAACTCTTGGGCTCAAGAGATCCTCTTGCTTCCTCCTCCCAAATTAGCTGGGACTGTAGGCACCCACCATAATGCCCAGCTAATTTTAGAGATGGTGTCTCGTTCTTGCTTAGGCTTGCCTCCCACTCTTGAGCTCAAGAAGTCCACCTGCCTCAGCCGCCCAGAATGTTAGGATTACAGATGTGAGCCACTGCACCCAGGTATTTTTAAAAATTTTTTTGTAGAGAAAAGGTCTTGCTTTGTTGCTCAGGCTCGTTGTGAATTCTTGGCCTCAGGTAATCCTCCTGCCTCAGCCTCCCAAAATGCTGACATTACAGCCATGAGCCACTGTGCCCAGCTAGAATAGCTGTTATTTTTAGACCAGCTTTTGTCTAGTAGATTGACTAGACAGTATGTAAGTTAATTTTTTTCTATTCTCATCTATACTCACCCTATACTAGTTTTCTAGTTAGTTAGAAAATCTATACTTAAGTTTTCAGTTTAGCTAATTATATTTGGTTACAATTAAATGTTTTAAGTTTTATATATATAAGTAAGTGTGATTTTTAAAAATACTCCAGAGTATAGTTTTTTAAAAAATATGATTAAAGGGTGGTGCCTGTGGCTCAAAGGAGTAGGGTACTAGCCCCATATGCCGGAGGTGGCAGATTCAAACCCAGCCCTGGCCAAAAAACCATACACACACGCACACACACACACACATATATATGATTAAATATCTATGCCTTTTCCCTAGAAATTGGACATACATATTATTTTTAATTATTTTTTCTAAGGGTTCAAGGACATCCCAGAACCGCAGGTTAAGATCCCTGGGTATAATGTTTTTCCCTATTAGGGTTAAAAATGGTGAGTTTGACTTAGAGCTTCCTAGGGGAAGCAGTATAGAGTAGTGGTTTCTGGATTCAGATTACCGGGTTTTGAAACCTGGCTTTTCTAGCTGTGTAACCTGAGTCAAGTGATCTGTAATCTCCCTACTTTAGGTTTTTTAATTTGAAAAATGGAGTTATAATACCTACTTCATAGTGTTGGTTGGGAGCAATTGACATGATGCATGTAGCTTTTTGCTTGTCACATAGTACTGAGTAAATTTTTTTTGAGACAGAATCTTGTTATGTCGCCCTCAGTAGAGTGCTGTGGCATCACAGCTCACAGCAACCTCAAACTCCTGGGCTTAAGTGATTCTCTTGCCTCAGCCTCCCAAGTAAGCTGGGGTTGCAGGTGCCTGCTACAACGCCTATCTTTTTGTTGCAGTTGTCGTTGTTTAGCAGGCCTGGGCAGGGCTTGAACCTGCTAGCTTTGATGTATGTGGCTGGTGTCCTCACTGAGCTATGGGTGCCTGAGTAAATTGAGTAAATTTACTGAGTAAATTTTTATTAAAAATAAAGAGAAGGAGTCAAAGCTGAAGTAATGTTTCTCAGCCCCTACCCCTACCTGCATGACAGTATTATCAATGTGTAAGTGTGGAGTTTTTGTAAAGTACCTATGTGGAGCCACTTCCTCTGTTTTCTCCATTGGATCCTTCCCTACCCCTGATATTCAAAATCAGTACATCTGGGTGTGGCCAAGACATTTACATATTTTTTAAGTTACATAGGTGATTTAGGGATTTTTTTGCAAGACAAGACAAGGTCTTACTCTGTTACCCAGTCTGGAGTGCAATGGCCCATTCAAAACTCTCTGTAACCTTGAACTCACTGGTGATTCTGTGTGCGCCACTGGTATTGAAAACTGCTAATTCAAAGCTATCCTAAGAATGGGCTGTCTTTCATAGTTTTAAGCTCACACTGGCTCACACCAATAGTCCCTATACTTTGGGAGGCTTAAGTGGGAGAATGGCTTGAAGCCAGGAGTTCAAGATCAGCCTTGATAACATAGTGAGACTTTGTCTCTCATTAGGGTGACCAGACGTCCCGCTTTTGCCGGGACAGTCCCACTTTTCAACAATTTGTCCTGTGTCCCGCGGCTTTTTAAAAAAGTCCCGATTTTTGGAAAGAATGCACGAACAGGCAGGAGAACAAGAAGGGAATATATGGTTTTCGGCTGCCATGTGGCTATTTCACCAGAATGAGTTTTATATTATTTTTGTTAATTTTATAATGTTAAACTGTAATAACAACAAATAATTGCTGAGAAGTGATTATCGAGAACTGCTTATCAAAGTTTGCATTATTATCAGGCCCTGCCCTGCCCCACCCTCCGCTCCGCCCCGCTCTGCCCTCCCCCCCCCATGTTGTCCCGCCTTACCGATGTTAGAATCTGGTCACCCTATCTCTAATGAAAGAAAAAAGATTGGGCGGTGCCTGTGGCTCAGTGAGTAGGGTGACAGGGTGATGGGTTTGATCCTGGCCCTGGCCAAACTACAACAAAAAAATAGTCGAGCATTGTGGTGGGCGCCTGTAGTCTCAGCTACTTGGGAGACTGAGGCAAGAGAATGACCTAAGCCTAGGAGTTGGAGGTTGCTGTGAACTGTGACATTACAGCACTCTACTGAAGGCAATAAAGTGAGACTCAGTCTCTAAAAAAAAGAAAAAAGTTTAGTTTTTTAATTGGCTGGATATAGCAGTATGTACTTGCAGTCCCAGCTACTTGTGAAGCTGAGGTGGAAGGATCCCTTGAGCTCCGGAGTTTGAGGATGTAATGAGCTATGATCACACCACTGTACTCCAGCCTATGGGACAGAATGAGACCGGTTTGTAAAAAAGCAAGAGAGAAAGCTTAAAATTCTAAGTTTTCTAAAACTTACACAGTAATTAAACAATTTCATGTGGTGCTCATTTCAATCTGCTTTCAATTGAATTAAGGTTTTTCTCATTCTTGATTTTTCTTTGAATCTTTTCCTCTGGCAGAGAAAGTTACTTAACTGACCGGTATCACGTATTTCAAACAGTTCAGTTGGAGGCTTTCACTAGAACTGAATATGACAGTGAATCAATGACACCTAATTCTTCCAAGATATTTTTCTGAGACTGACTTTAAAGATAATCAGTATTAGTTTATAAGCTATTTTATTTATTAATTAATTTATTTTGCAATTTTTGGCTGGGGCTGGGTTTGAACCCGCCACCTCCAGCATATGGGGCCGGCACCCTACTCCTTTGAGCCACAGGTGCCACCCCAGCTATTTTATTTTTTTAAGGACACTATTAAAATTTGCTTTAATACTTCTTTGGTGAAAATTACCACACTTTTAGTGGATGATAAGAAACATTTTTACAGTAGTAGTAGGCTATTATTTTTAATATCTATTATGCCATGAATTCATAGGGAAAAGGTTCCAGTAGCTCAGGGAGGCACCTTGCCATTGAATGTGACAAAGCATTGCGTGACTATTATGCTATGAATTCCTGGGGAATAGGTTCCAGTACCTTATGTCACTGTTTACATGGGGTCTGTTGTTTATCCTGTGTGCTATGCTATACACCTATTATGCCATGAATTCATGGGGAATAGATGGGTTCCAGCACCTAATATCACAGTACCATTGGTTCTCCTGTGTGCTGTGCTATATGCCTATTATGCCATGAATTCATAGGGAATGGGTTCCAGGAGCTCAAGCTCCTTTCCATTGGTTCCCACAAAGTGTACTTCTCTGGGTAGAGCAGGCTTGTACTCCATTTGAACCAGGTACCTTTCTCTTTGGCTTCCTTATTTTTCTTTCTTTCTTTTTTTTTCTTTTTTTTTGAGACAGAGTCTCAAGCTGTCACCCTGGGTAGAGTACTATAGCATCACAGCTCACAGCAACCCCCAACTCTTGGGCTTAAGCGATTCTCTTGCCTCAGCCTCCCAAGTAGCTGAGAATACAGGCGCCCGCCACAACACCCGGCTATTTTTTGGTTATAGTTGTCATTGTTGTTTGGCGTGCCCAGGCTAGATTTGAACCTGCCAGCTCTGGTGTATGTGGCTGGTGCCCTAGCTGCTTGAGCTACAGGTGCCAAGCCAGGCTTCCTTATTTTTCTGAACATTTTCCTTCACACGGTTCAGGAAGCTTTCTCAGCTCTTAGACACTTAATATGCTCAATATGAACATAAATCCTCTTGGCAAGAATCTTGCCCTTAACTTGTTTGTTTACAACAATGCCAACAGCATGCTGGGTAACATTGTAGACTCTTCCAGTTTTGCTATGGTGACATCTATGTGGCATGCCTTTTTGAACAGTACCCATTTCCCTGATGTCTACAATATCACCTTTCTTGTAGATTTGCTTATATGTGGCCAAAAGAACAACTCCATGTTTGTTTTTTTTTTGAGACAGTCTCACTATGTCGCCCTCGGTAGAGTCCGTGGCATCAGAGCTCGCAGCAACCTTAAACTCTTGGGCTTAAGCAATTCTCTTGCCTCAGCTTCCCAAGTAGCAGGGACTACAAGCGTCCGCCACACATCCAGCTATTTTTTTGTTGCAGTTGTCATTGTTTAGCTGGCCTGGGCCGGGCTTGAACATGCCAGCTTCAGTGTATGTGGCTGGCACTGTAACCACTGTGCTACGGGCACGGAGCCAACTCCATGTTTTCTAAAAGGCGTAGAGAACAAGTATTAGGTACTTCTCCTCTTTCCCTTTGTGTTTGTCATTTTGGTGACTTACTGGATGATGGTCTCTCTGGCCCAAAGGAAGGCTATAAGCCATTTTAGGCCAAGTCTGATCCTAGGGAAGTCTAGGATTTTTTTTTTTTTTTCAGTTTTTTTTTGACCGGGGCTGGGTTTGAACCCGCCACCTCTGGCATATGGGGCCAGCGCCCTACTCCTTTGAGCCACAGGTGCCACACAGAAGTCTAGGTTTTTAAAATTATAATTTGCCAGTATTTTTAAACAACCTGAGGACCGTGTAACAAGCAGCATCTCTTTTTTTCATGTATGTATAAAAAAAAATTTTAATCTTTGTCCTTTACGACTATAAAGATTATATATGATTTGGAAATGAGACCATACCCAAGAAGAGTCATTCATTCTGTGCCTTCTTTTACCTGGTTGCTCAGAAATATGTTATCAGCTATGATTGTTGTTGCTTGTCACCTCACATTATTTTTATCCATGTATTTACCATAGTCCACTTTCCCTTCCACATCAATTCAAGAACTCTTTTTCACATCTTGATATGTCATATCTGAGGCGTAGCTAACACAAAGATATTCTGTACCATGGTGTCCTTTGACACCCGTTTGGTATACTTCACTGTTCCCTGGTTGCCATAGGTAGCATGTTTACTGCTACAGAAAAGATTGTGGATCTTTCAAGAATCAAGGTACTAGTTACTTCAGATTCATATCTTACAAACTGGTGAAGTACCTATAATATAGGTTTATGAAATGTGGCTTCTGTTTTCTTACAATCTAATTTTTAGATTTTTCCTAATAGTCTAGGCTAGCCTTCTAGCTAGTAGATCACCATTTCTTGTGAGAGGGAAGAGTAGGTTTTCTTTACAGTATCTGAATGGATATGTTTTTATTTTCTGACAGCCTATTACTAGCTCTCCACCCAAATGGATGGCTGAGATAGAACGTGATGATATCGACATGTTAAAAGGTAAGTGATACTGGTGACCTCTAACTTTTACCTAGATATTTATGTTCTTCCACAAATTGTCTTCCCAATTTTTCTCTTACTGTTATTCCAAGTTTTCTTGGCTTTTAACTGCCTACTTAACCAACTCTATTTTAGTTTTTTTGTGTCTGGAATGCCTTTCTCTACTTTTTCCAAGTGTAGAAATCTTACCAATTTGAGAGTCAAGTTACAATGAATCTGCTGCTGCTAAATTCTTATTAATTTTGTATAAGCTAACAATTAATTAATTTTTTCATAGCTAACAAAAGCTCTAACATAAACTTTCTTATTTGATTCTCATGAAGATCTTGTCAATTAGGGCTCAGTGCCCATAGCACAGTGGTTACAGGCCAGCTACATACACCGAGGTTAGCAGATTCGAACCTGGACTAGGCCAACTAATCAGCAATGACAACTGCAACAAAAAATAGCCAGGCATTGTGGTAGGTGCCAGTAGTCCGAACTACTTGGGAGGCTGAGGCAAGAGAATCGCTTAAGCCCCAAGATTTGAGGTTGCTGTGAGCTGTGACACCACAGCACTCTAACAAGAGTGACACAAGTGAGGCTCTATCTAAAAAAAAAAAGATCTTGTCAGTTCAATATGTTGATACCTAAGGTTTAGAAGTTAACTTAATCAAGATATGTTAGAATTGAAAATCTTAACTCTGAGCAAGGTCCAGTGGCTCATCATGCCTGTAATCCTAGCACTGTAGAAGGCTGAGGCAGGTGGATTGGTTGAGCTCAGGAGTTCAAGAACAGCCTGAGCAAGAACGAGACTCTCTAAAAAAATAGCCAGGTATTTTGGTGGGCACCTGTAGTCCCAGCTACTTGGGAGGTTGAGGCAAGAGGATTGCTTGAGCATGAGACTCTGTCTCAAAAAAAAAATCTTAACTGTGATCTTTTAAGTCTAGTCTCTTTCCACTATAACACAAGTGCCTTATTTATGTAGGATTTGCTGCCATATATTGTAGTCAGTACTATTTATGGCAATGCCTTAGGGGGTTAAGACCAGTTTTTTATTTCTTTCAATCCCATCAATTTCTTCCATGAAGAATACAGTAAGTAGTGAATATTGTTGTTTGATAAATGCTTTGGAACTCAATTACAAAGTAGAAATTCAAATTAAAAAACATTAATTTTCCATGATTTTGCTCTATTTATTTTATCATCTTTCTGGTGATAAGATTCATGATGGGTGCAAAGTAATAGACAGAAATTAAGGTAAAAACCTAGGATTCTTGAGCTATTTAAGCAGCTGAACAGATCAGGAAAGTGCACTTATGCAGAGTATAGGTAATGACTGCAGCATGATAAATGGAAGAAAAAAACACCTTTATTTGATTTTAGAAGTAATTCATTGTTCTGCATGAAATGTTTAAATGCAGATTCCCTCCTCTAATCATGGAAAAATTAAGTCTCAAGGGCATCTCAGGTTCACTGTTCTAATTTCTAAACAGACATTTATATAATATCCTATCAGCATGTATTTCCTAAGGAAACCTTATATTTTTAGTGAAGGATCATAGCATTTTGTTTATGCTAACTGACCTGTGCCTTAAACCTACAAGGAATTGGGTATAAAAATTAGTTATCAAATCTGGTATTTTTTTGCTTCCTTACAATTGGGTACTACTTAAGTGGAAATCTAAGAAAGTATTTTAAGTATACTTTAAGTTGGTAAACTTAAAAATTTTTACAACTACTTGATTTGAAGAGAAAGTTTATATTTGGTGTTTTCTAAACTTAAGGAATTGAGGAACAATAAGTGTTTTGTGGATATTTTATTGTTAACAGAAATAATGGGTCCTCTGCTGTGTACTGAGGTTTAAAAAAAAAAAGAATGGGGACTTAAAAATGACAATGGAGACAATGTCCAGTTTGCAAAATAGAAATCCTCTGCAAGGCTCTCTAAAATCACAAAGTTTCATATTTTAATGGTGTATTCATTTTGTGTGATAGGCAAAATGACTGTTATATAAAGATCCTTAGGATAAAACACTTAACTTGTTATTTTTTGCTAGCTCTTTTCTCACCGAATGGATAAGCTCATCTGAGGTATTTTGCAGTAATGGAAAATTTCTCTCTGTGTGTGTGTTTTGGATTGGGACAGAAGAGATAAGGATTCATTTTCTACTTATTCACTAGGAATTAAGATTGGAAACTTAATGTAACAAGGATTCTGAACCCAAATGAGTTGTTACTAGAGAATAGTGGAAAGAAATGGTATTGAAATAAAATGATTCTATTTCAGAACTGGGGAGCCTCACCACAGCTAATTTGATGGAGAAGGTACGAGGCCTACAGAACCTGGCCTATCAGCTGGGGCTGGATGAGTGTGAGTACCCAGATCATATTTATTCAGGGTTAGTGGTACATGCTGTGTATTCCATAATGAGTTCTGGTTATAATTCAGAAAGTATCTTTAGGAAAAAGATAAGTGTTCTGAAGGTAAGAAGTCAATGTGATCAAAACTGTGCGTTTTATGATAAGGCATGCTGAAATAATTACTGAGTTTACTAGGTAACAAATTATTTTTCTCCATGGAGTAAAAGTACATTGCAGCCCTTTCAGTTTTAAGCAATAGAATGTCAGCTCAAACTAGATTAAGCAGAGGGGAAATTTTGTTAGTTCACATAAATTATAAGTCCAGGGGTGGAAGTAGTTTTGAGGTTATCTAGATCCATGCATGACTCTTAATGATGTCATTGGGCTATACTGTTGAGTTTTGTTGTGGTGGTTGTTGATTTTAATATAAGTAGAGAATTTATTTCTGCCAGGCTTGAAGATTGCAACCCAGGACCATAGATTCAAGTTGCTCTGAATACACACTCCTGGGTGCTGTTGTTGTTGCTTTGTTTTGCATCTCAGGGTTTTGCTGCACTCACGCATTAGTTTTCTATTCTTTGCTGCTACAGATGGCTTTTTCATACCACTGGGGAAGGTGGCCAGAAGGAGCTACAGTTAATGTGTTTTTAAAGGAAGAAAGAGTATCTTTTCTGAACATTCCAAAAGAAAGAAAGTCCTTGGGGAAGATTCTGACTATTCTATCTTGGCTTACATACCCATTCCTGAACCAGTCATTTGGCCAGGTAGCATGAAGCACTCTGATGGACTGGGCCTGGGACTTGAGTGCAAATGAAGATTAGAGGGGTTGCTTATGAAATAGAAAGGAAGGATTGGTTCCCCAAAGGAAGGGATATATGATACACCAAGAACATATTTTCTATCATGAATAATACATTAAAATTTCTTATGTATACCTGTCCTTCATTCTATTTAGTTTAAATTATTTCTTTATAAATTGTGTCCCTTATTATGGCATTCATTAGAAAACTGGAAAAGAGGCTCAGCGCCTGTGGCTCAAGCGGCTAAGGCGCCAGCCACATACACCTATGGTGGCAGGTTCGAATCCAGCCTGGGTCCGCCAAACAACAATGATGGCTGCAACCAAAAAAAATAGCCGGGCATTGAGGCGGGCTCCTGTGGTCCCAGCTACTTGGGAGGCGGAGGCAGGAGACTCGCTTGAGCCCAGGAGCTGGAGGTTGCTGTGAGCTGTGATGCCATGGCACTCTACCCAGGGTGACAGCTCGAGGCTCTGTCTCAAAAAAAAAAAAAAAAAGAAAAGAAAACTGGAAAAGAAGTTGTAGAAGTTCTCACTTTATAATTTAAGGAAGAGATATTCAACATAAATATAGTGGCTAGATCCTTGTTTTCAAGGGTAACTCCTGAATCCAGAATTTGAGAATACTTCTGTAATTTATGACTGTCACCCTGGCTAGAGTGCTGTGGTATCATAACTCGAAGCAGCCTCCAACTTGGGCTCAATCCATCCTCTTGCCTTAGTTTTTCTATTTTTAGTAGAGATGGGGGCTTGCTTTTGCTCAGGTTGGTCTCCAACTTGTCAGCTCAAGCAATCCACCTACCCCGGCCTCCCAGAGTGCTGGGATTACAGGTGCGAGCCACTGCACGTGCCCTTTTCTTTTCTTTTCTTTTCTTTTCTTTTCTTTTCTTTTCAGATAGGGTCTCACACTGTTGCCTTGGCTAGAGTGCATGGTATCATCATAACTCACTTCAACCTCAAACTTCTGGTCTTTCTTATGCCCTAAATCTCCCTCACAGTTAATTCTGATCCTATGTTGGACCTTGTCCAACCTGTTCTGCTCTGATGTTGACACTTTTTTTTGTTGTGTTTTTGCCTGTGTAATTCAGAAAATGATTATGTGTTTTCTCACATTCCCAATTATGGCAAGACAACAACAGAAACCCTTATTCATCCTGGTTTGCCATTTACATCTCAAATAGTGATCATTTCGCACAAATTTTGCAAGTACATACAAGTGGTTCAGACTGTCACATCTATACTGACAGGTTCTACACAAGCCCTCAACTTGCTTGGGAATTGCATAAAATGAAAGTACATATACACGAAGAGTTATGGCTTCTAGGAAGGATTTTCAAAGTGATCTGAAAAAAGAAGAAACTTCAGGAATATGAATTATATGCCAATCAATGTGATATGAAAATGATGTGCCTCTCATTCCATGACAAGAGGTTAGTGACATTGCTGAGTATAATTTTTCGCCCTCAAACAAAGATGATCACTGGTATAGGAAGGAACAGCTTGTTCACTTTGAAATAACCCACAGTTATTTTAGAATACACGAAATTTATTGGAAGAGTGGACAGAGCTGATCAGTACTGTGGACATTAATGGGGTTTACAAAGAGGTCCTATAAATGGTAAAAAATTTTACCCTTCTGGCTGATGTAGTTGCAGTTGTGAACAGGTACATCCTTTACTTCTTAGATGAGGATAGTGGAGAAAAAGTGCAGATACACCTTTCTTATAGGAGAAATCACATCACTCAGCTTGTGAGCAATGTGAGGAACAGAAGAAGAAAGAGGGGAAGACCATCCTCTTCTGTCACTGAGGAAAGGCTAAATGAGAAGATGCATTTTATAATGAAAAAGAAATCAAAGGATTACATGATTTGCAACAAAAGAAATGAGAAAGAAAGAAGCCATTTTCTACTGGGAGACATGCAGGAAGAAGCCTGGAATTCATCCTGGAGATTGCTTCAGCAAGTATCACACTCAAAAAAATTATAAACAGAAATAAACAAACCCTCTCATTATTTTATTTAACCTAAAATAGATAATAAAATCATCAGATGAATTTATATATATTTTTTCCTTTAAAAACTATAGGATAATTACAAGTAATCCACCAACCTCTTTCCAGCCCAAAATGAATAAGAGCTGGGGAGTATACAGGTGGCAGAAAAATTGGATTGGAAAGGAGCCAGCACTACAGGCGTAAGCCACTGCCCCGGCCTTAAACATTTACCTGTCATAGTTCCACCTACATTTTATTAATATGTCCTGTTTTTGTGTATTAAATCTAGTCATTTGTTTTATAGATTTTCCAAATTATATATTTTGTTGATTACATCTCTGTAGTTGTGTTTAACTTGTTCATCTGTCCCTTTTTATTTCCTGATAGTTAGATCTGGAAGCTTGCACAGATACAGGCTTTATTATTTTTCACAATATTTCATAGTTGGTGTTGTGTATATCCATCAAAGGGGACGTTTTGTCTGGCCATTTCTTTGTGTTATTAAAGTTAATAGTTGATAAAGGTATTGTTAGTCTGATCTGTTTATTTTAAGATTCTTCATCAGTCCTATTCCCAGGGTGGCAGCTTTTGATCCCTGTCTAGATCTACTATTTTATTATAGATTGTAAGATGATGATTTTCTAATTCTGTCCTTCCTTCTTATTGGCTAGAATATTTTTATAATGGACTTTATCTTATCAACTATTTGGTTATTTCGAAAGCTTTCCTCCTGGAATAAAAGATAAATGATTCTTTTTCTTTATTGGTTTTCAGAATAAGGAGTCAGTTCCTTAACCATCATTAAAGCCTATTTTGATGGCTTTCCACAGAATTGAAAACTTCATGTGTTTTTTTTTAATCCATACAATTAAAGCCATTATTACTGTTGGATGATTGTATTTTTAAAAACAAAAGACTTTGAGAGGCAGGGATTTGAAGTCAAATAACTCAGCTACCTTCGCTGAACCAAATGTGTTTCTCCTGTAGTCCCATGAGCACAGCTGAGATATTTCAAAGTTATTTAATAGTTCAAAATTCAGCCTTTCAGCTCTGTAGTAGTGTTTGGGGACTGAGTGCCTTTTTGCAGGACCAAAACAAATTTAGCTGACATAAAATAGTTTTTAAATTTAGAATTGGAAATAATTACATTGATTGTATATTAAACTTCTTGGATACAGTCTCTTTGTTTTGTTGTGTATTATATATTTGCATAAAAATAAGATTTTTTTTTGGCTTTATAGATTATTCATCTACTCTAGGGGTTGGCTTTTACTTGACACCCTAATCTGGTGTTTGGATGTCTCAATCCTCTTTCCTGCATTAATTGAGAAGATGACATGGATGAAAAATAACCAGTAGGAACTGATGAATCCCCAAGGACTAGTGATACTGTTTTCATGCAAATATCTGTTGCTGATAAAGATGATGGAAAGAAAAAAAATGCAAAAAATATTTGTCCTTAAAACATGATTGTTTGTCATTTCCCAAGAGCATTGTTAAATGTTAATGTAGAAATCTTAGGAATTCTCTAGGGCTGATAGTAACTAGATTGTATCTTTTGGAAGATGAACCAGTACCCTTTTATTTGCTATGTGTTTATGCCACAGATAACCTTTTGGGTGTGCAAATTTTGGAATCCTATAACTTTTCTTGTGGGCATTTTTTTTTTTTTTTTTTTGGGGGTTGTTTTTGAGATAGGGTCTTATTCTGTCGCTCAGGCTGGAGTGCGGTGGTACAGTCATAACTCACTGTGACTTTAGACTCCTGGGCTCAGGAATTCCTCCTGCCTTAGCCTCCCCAGTAGCTAGAACTGCAGCCGTGTGCCACTGTGCCTGGCTAATGCATTGACTTTTCATATAGGCATTTATAGCCTCCCAGATGATCAGAGCCCCTTGGCTTTATTTAGGCAGTTAATTTATATGAAATTCCTTTGATATACATAGAAAGATGAAAAATTATAAAACTGTTAACATATGACGAATTCCATTTCTATTTCAATCTGGGTTCAGAGTCCTTCCTCTTTTACTAGAACTGTATTGCAGTCACTTTTTGTATCATTGCCTCTCACCTACCCCATTGCTGTCCATCCTATTTACTACTGCCTGATTGATTTTTCTAAAGTACCATTTACTCTGTTTGTTCTTTGCTCATAAGTCATTGGGAGTACTTTATCACTCATAGGGTAAAATTCAGACTTCTTAGCATGGTATTCAAAATCTT